TTTCTGATCCAATTCTTTTCCAGGAGAAGAAAAAGGTGGCATTGTATTCTGTTCTTTAAAAATCAGTGGAGTTGATGCCAGCTGGCTGTCTGTAGAGGATTTTGCCTTTGGAGTTTTAAAAGTTTGATCAAGCCAACCAATGGGACCCTCAGGTTCTCCTAACAACTTAGGCTCATATGGAGGTGCTTCTGAGCTGAGCTCTTCAAACCAGTCAAGACTTATAGGGCCCAAGTCTATGAATAAATACATACAGGGAAAAAAAAAAAAAAAAAAGGGGGAAATCTTAATTCTATATATGGCACATATCAGAGAACATCACAATTAGCTGTACAGAATCAAAGCTCTATACAGTATAGGAAAATATATATTATGCATTCTTATGCTAGCAGCAAAATACTTTACCTCTTCCACTGCCATAATTCTATTTCTAGACAGATCTCAGAATCAATGAATTGTTTGTATTGGAAGGGACCTTTAAAGGCCATCTGGTCCAATCCCCCTACAGTGAACAGAGGCACCCACAGCTCCATCAGGGGTTCAGAGCACCATCCAGCCTAACCTTGAGTGTCTCCAGAATGGCACATCCACCACCTCTCTGAGTAACCTGTCCCAGTGCCTCACCACCCTTATTGTAAAAAGAAAAAAAAAAAATTAATATCCAGTCTAAATCTCCTCTTCTAGTTTAAAACTATTTCCCCATGTCCTGCAACAGACCCTGCTAACACATCTGTCCCCTTCCTTCTCGTATCCCCCATTAAGATACTGAAAGGTCACTCTCGGGTCTCCCTGAAATTTGTCTTCTCCAGGCTCACCAGCCACAGCTTTCTCAGCCTGTCCTCCCAGAAGGACATAGCTTTGAGTCCTGACACCCACAAAGTGTAAACAAACAAGAAACCTGTCAAATTTCTTAGACCATAAATAAGCCTAACCAAAGACCTAACGAACATCCAGTTTGTTTAAAATCTTTCAATTTAGTTCATGCCTTATTTTACACATAACAGCAAGTTAAACAGGTCCCTTTCAGCATTTGCTGATTATACAAACCCAGGAGGATGACTAACACACTGGAAGGCTGTGCTGCCATTCCACAAGATCTGAACAGGCTGGAGTTGGGCATGGAGGGACCTGATGTGGCCTTAGCAAGACCAAATGTAAAGTCTTGCACCTGGAGAGGAATAATCGAATGCATCAGTACAGGTTAGGGGATGACCTGCTGGAGAGGAGCTCTGCAGAGTAGGACCTGAGTGTTCTATTCAACAGCAGGTTGGCCATGAGCCAGCAGTGTGTCCCTGTGGCCAAGAAGGCCAGTGGTATCCTGGGGTGCATTAAAAAGAGCATGACCAGGACGTGAAGGGAGTTGATCCTCCCCCTTTACTCTGCCCTGTTGAGGCCACATCTGGAGTACTATATCTGGTTCTGGACTCCCCAGTTTAAAAAAGACATGGATCTCCTAGAAGGAGTCCAGTGGAGGGCCACAAAGATGATAAAGGGCCTGGAGTATCACCCACATGAGGAAAGGCTGAGTAACCTGGGTCTGTTCAGACTGGGGAAAACTGCAGAGGGATGTGGTTAATGCCTATTAATATCTAAAGGGAGGTAGAAGGCAAATGGATGAGGGCAGGGCAATTCTCAGTGGTTCACAGGAGTAATGGCCTAAAACTTGAACACATTAAGTTCTGTACTAACATGCTGAACAACTTCTTTATGGTAAAGGTGACAGAGCACTGGAACAGGTTGCCCAAAGAGGTTGTGGAGTCTCCTCCTGTGGAGATATTCAAGGCCCACCTGAATGCCTATCTCAGCTACCTATTGTAGAATTCCTGCTTTAGCAGGAGGGTTGGACTCAATCTCTTGTGGCCCCTTCTAGCCCCTGCAATTCTGTGATTAATGTTCTGTACTACCACCAGCTCATCTGGCAAAAGACTGACACTGGCCTGCATACAAGTATGTAACGAAAATCAGGCTCAATTAAAAAAGAAAAAAAAAAGAAAAAAAAAAAAAAGCAACTGAGCACACATTATGAAAAAAACCACTATGATTTAAAGAAATATATAAGAAAGTAGGTAATAATGAATAGAGATTTAAACCAAGAACAACCTGCATAGTGCTTTTCTTGAAACAGAAGAATCACAGAATCATAGTTGATCCACAGTGATACTCGAGTCCAACCCCAGGCTTCACACAGGAACACCCCAAATCCAAATCCTATGTCTAAGAGCGCCGTCCAAACACTCCCCGAGCTCCAGAACCTCAAGGCCGTGCCCACAGCCCTGGGCAGCTGTTCCATGCCCACCGCCCTCTGGCGCAGCCCCTTTCCCTCACCCCCAGCCGCCCTCCCCTGACGCAGCTCCATGCTGTTCCCTCGGGCCCTGTCGCTGTCACACAGAGCAGAGCTCAGCGCTGCCCTCCGCTCCCTGTGAGGAGCTGCAGCCGCCATCAGGCCTCCCTTCAGCCTGCCCAGCTCTGGGCTGAGCACAATAGGGGCCTCAGCCGCTCCTTATACGTATTCCCTTTTAGCTCCCTCACATCTCGGCAGCCCTCCTGTGGCCGCTCTCTAAGCCCCTTCTTCTGTGTTCTTCTGGCACTGCAGTGTCCAGACCTGCGAGCAGCATTCAGGGCAAAGCCGTGCCGGCACGGCGCAGAGCGGGATCAGAAGAGTCTGCAGGTAGCACATAACAGATGTGAACATCCATACAACAACCTTAATACACGTTACGTAGTCAAACTGTACCTGCATCGCTACAATGCGCCTTAAATACTTCAAAGAAAGTAGGTCTTTTCCCAGATTTGTAAGCCATTTTTTAATCTCACCGGAACACTTGTTGGAAAACCTGAGAAAATACAAGGAAACAGCGCCTGACGCAGAGCTCACAGCGCCCCGCCTGCCCCGCTCCGCACGGCTAAGCGCCAGCGCCGCACGTCCCATGCTGGTAGTTACCTCAGCGGCACGCTCCAGAAGGACGCGACCCGCTGACACCGCTCCCCGCGCACCGACGGACACCCAACGGCCTCGCGAGCCTCGACCCCGGCAGGGCAACGAGGCGGAATGCCCGCACTACCCGTGCGGGGATATTACCTCCCTCCAGCCTCCGGGAGCGCTCCGCTGCCGCAGCATCGCCCCAAGCGCGGGGGTCCCGCGGGCACGGCGCGGCCCCGCCGAGCTGCGCGCTCCCGAGACGCCGCCACGTTCAAAGCTTGGCGCCAACGCCGCCTCCCGCCGCATGCGCGCTGCGGCGGGAGCTGTGCCCGCCTCCCCGCGGGGAGGACGGAGGCGGCGCAACGGCCGCCGCTCCTCAGGGCCGGGAGGCGGTTGGCGCTCCGCTCACTCCTCCCTCAGCGCCGAGCGCCGCCAAGCACGAGAGTCGCGGTGTGACTGCGTTCCTGGAACGACACTGTGTGACATCTGCACCTGCTTTCCCTCATAACCTGTTTCTCACAGCGCACTGTCCTTCCCATGACGAGATGCCAACTCCCCTGTGCACTCACCTGCTACAGAAAGCGTTATAATCCTCTGCATACTCGTCCATTCCCCAGACTCTTGATTCTTAGCCAGAGCAAGGAGTCCATAAAACAGCTTCAAGTCAGATGAAAAATTCTTCCTGCTATTACTCTGGAGTTCGACATGTTCTATTCCAGTCAGTTTTCCACCTGCTCTTACAGCTAGTGAGGCACAGGCTGCCTTCCCACAGCTGTGGGTGCCCCATCCCTGCAGGTGCTCGAGGCCAGGATGTGCCCAGCAGGCTGAGCTGGGTGCCCTGCAGCCCATAGCCCATGCTGGGACGGGGATGGGCTTTAAGGCCCCTTCCAACCCAAACCATTCTGTCATTCCATGAGTTTGCGACTGTGCTATAAAAGGGCCTCTCCGTACCAGTCACTCTTCCAGTATACTTCCTTTAATCCTGCAGAAGGCTGTGCAGGTGCAACTACTGCTTCTTCCTGTAGCATTGTAGAAGCCATACCATTTATTCAGATGATGGCTAGTACTTTCCATGTTATTCTCCATCCTATTTATTTTTTTCCCCACCCAGTCTGCAGTCATAAGTTCTACCTTGGTCATCTTGATATCTTTTTTCTTTTCCATTCACTTGATAGGAACAGTGCTCTACAAAACCAAACACAGCACCTAACCTCAACCCATTTTGTTTTTAGCTATGAGTGTTTCCTGAATAGCAATGCCTTTTGTTCCATAAGAATGTTGTTTCGTCCCATTCAGGCACTCAAAGGGATCTTTCTCACCCACACAGTGGAAGTTTAAAGGCATCATCCCTACTGATTCTTTCCGCCCTGCTGTCCCATGGCTTTTATAAAGCAACGCTTTTATAGAAAGGTGAGGGGTGGTGTAAAGAAATCATGGAACATCACAGCAAGTCCAGAGGTGTGGAGGATTCTACAGTCTCTACAGATTCACAAATGCAGCTCTGATGAATTTAATTACTTGATGTTAACTCTGTTACTTTAGAATTGACATAACTAAAGTGGTGCAATTAGGACAGAAGGACTATTAATCTAATACGAAGGCACCTGTATAGCTGTAATTTCATTATACAGATATTAAGCCACCTTTCCCAATCTAACTGTTTTCCCTCTGGGCTTTTGTACCAGCTGAAGTACCCCCCATCTCCCACAACAACGCAGCTGACAGAAAAACAGTTTGTAGGCAATCCCTAAGTAATGGGGATGTTAAAACCTTTTAGCAACGACAAAGACTTCTCGCAAAAGATTAATGGCCCGCATTCTCTGCTGGGTCACCAGTGGCACCATCAGCTTATCAGGGCTTTGTCAGCTTTAGCTTCTCAGCTCTTCCTTTCAGCCACCAGGCAGACCCGCCATGGCCCTGGAAGCCCCAGCGATGAGCCCAGCCCGTGCGACAGGACGGAGGGCAGGAGGAGCACAGGCTGCGCCAATTTCCCCCTCAATTAGCGGCAATTAACACCGGCTCGCAGACGGCATAAAGGCAGGGCCGGGAGCCACTCCTAGCTGACCTTTCTGCAGGTACCACCATGGAGAGCTTCGTCTTTCCCCCTTTCGGCTCGTTCCAGAGCTTCAGGGGCGGCCTGCCACCCAACCGCAGCGGAGAGTCGACACCGAAGCAGCCGAGCTGGAAGCAGAACAAGAGCAGCGGCCTCGGCCCCTTCCCTGTGGGGCCGCCCACCCCGGTGTCGGCCGACTACCTGGACAGCTGCCGCCGGGCGCAGCTCAAGGCGCTCCTGTCGCAGGTGAGCCCGGGGCTGACGCCGCGGCTGCGCCGGGCCAACACCAAGGAGGTGGGCGTGCAGGTGAACCCGCGGGCCGACGCCGCCGTGCAGTGCTCGCTGGGGCCGCGCACGCTGCCCGCCGGCCGCCCTCTCACCCCCGCCGCCGCCCGCGCCCGGGGACGCCTCGCGCTCTACTCGCCCTTGCTGAACCCCCGCCTCTTTACGCTGCCCGAGGCCGCAGCGCACCGAGAGGAGGAAGCGGCGGCTCCGGCCGCCCCCGAGGAGCAGAAGGCGGAGGGCGGTAGCGACGAGCAGCGGGACGGCCCGGTGGAGCCTGCGGAGGCTGCGGCTTCGAGCGAGGTGCCGCGGGAGCAGAGTGCCGCCCCTGGGCGCCGGTCCGCCTTCCAGGTGCGTAGCGCGGGGAGACGGGTAGGGTCCGGGGGGTGAGGAGCCCTGGGATGGAGCTCTGGAGCGGACATGCGCCTTGTCCCCCCAGCACCGGCCGCTGCCCTGGGAGCATCTCGCCCCTGTAGGCGGCTGGTGCTGAGGGCGGGAGGATGCTGAGCGAGCTCTCTCTGCAGTTCTTGGAGCAGAAGTACGGCTATTTCCACTGCAAGGACTGCAAGACCAGATGGGAGAGTGCTTACGTGTGGTGCATCTCTGGGACTAACAAGGTACTTTATGTGTAACAAAACAGGTCTTGTCTTGCTCCTGACACTTACATGTTTGACACACCATCCCTGAGAAATGTATCATGGTTTAGGCACAAGTGTTGGGTGATGGTATTCAACATCTTAAGTATTACTGAAGACTTAATCTTCTCAGGTGTACTTCAAGCAGCTCTGCCGCAAATGCCAGAAGGGCTTCAATCCCTATCGCGTGGAGGCAATCCAGTGCCAGGTACGTTACAGATTTCTTTTTTGGTAAAGTTATGCGAGTTGCTCATGGACTCAGTTCGTTGTTACTGGGACGATAATTCTGTCAGAACTAGGAAACGTTTGGGAAAGGGGTAATTGCATAGGACTCATCTTGCTGATGGCCTACCTGAACAGTTTTCTGTTCATACCATCTAGCATTCCATCTAGTAACGTGTAGAGTAGTGTTGTGCTTCTAGGTGAGAAGCTTTAACAGCTTAACTTCATGGGGTTTATTGACTTCATGGGGTTTAATGCAAAAGCTCTTTTAAGCCTATCAGCTCAAGTACCTTCTTATGATTAAGGGAAACCAACACAATGCATGCCTCTTATCTGCTCCCACTCTCACATTTCTTAAGACCTGCTTCAAGACTCGCTGCACCTGCCCTCAGAAGAAAAGGCACATTGATCTCACGAGACCTCATCGCCAAGAACTCTGTGGCCGCTGCAAAGGCAAGAGGCTGTCCTGTGATAACACCTACAGCTTCAAGTACATTGTCTGATTTGCCTGCCCTCCACCAGTTTGTGCTCTGCGTGTTGTCTGTCTTTTGTGATGTTTTGACCTTAGGCTTTTGACCTGGCATTGGATAATGGATGAAGACTTCTGTGTTATTTATAAAATATTTAACTTTATTGTATATATGCTGTAATTAAAGTTCAATAAAAGTTTGCACTGATTTGTTACCTGCTTGTTTCATCTTGCTGTGATCAAGGAGGAAAGCATATCTGGAAAGAAACAACCAGATTTCCCACATAGGCTTTGGTTTTAGTCTACATTTAGGTAAGGTTTAGTATGCAGTAGCAGTTTCTTTCACTTGAACTGAACTAGTGTGGAAGAAGGCTGGGGTTGGAATTGTGGTAACGGTATCTGCATGTTTCTTCCCCCTTAGCAAATATATACTTAGAAATCAAATAGCAGGTTTCTAAGGATACGATGTGTGTACCTTGTAAGATGAGTAAGCTGGTGTAACTTCAAAAGCTTTTTGAGATGGGTTTTCTTGTTTGTCTAGACACTGCAGCTACAGAAACTGTTATACAACTATAGTTGCTTAATTCAACCACAGAGCATTCTGGTCTTCCAGGGTATCTCAAAGGTAGTGAGTAATTGAACACAATTAACGGGAACAAAATGCAGTCAGTAGAACCTTGGAAAAACCTTTTAAAGAAGCATATTAAGATGTTGCTACTGCTTGTGCTATTCTAGGGCTTTGAGGGGGCAGAAGCCGAGAGGTTCAGAAGGAAGTGAAAAGCTTTTCCACTACATGGACTCTCAAGTAGAACAAGCTGTCCACAGAAGCAGTACGCTCCATCTTCAGAGGTTTTCAAGACTCAACTGGCTAGAAGCCTGAGTAACTTGACCTTGTGGCTACTGCTACTTCAAGTGGAGGTACAGCAAGGTGACTTCCTGAAGTGCTTCATCCAGTTCTTTCCAACTTGAGTTTTCCTCTTGATGAGGATCATCTTAAAATCAAGCAAGCATTCTGAAATGGGGTTAAAGGGGAGAGGGCTTTACTGTGTTCTGAGAGCCTGGGCTGCCATGGCAGGCTGGACAGATTTTCTTCCACTTTCAGTACTAGGAAGAAAAATCATTGAAAACTAAGTCTGGAGTTAACAGGCCTGTTGTTAATGTTTTTAACAGAAATAAGCCTTTACTTGCAGATGGTGGTGTTTTTTTTGTTTTTTTTTTCAGTTTGAATCTGCTTTAGTCAGAGATAATAAAGGAAAAAAAATACTACTTCTGGGTCTCTTTCAATGTAATAATTTAACCATAAGCCATGGAACAGGTGTCTTCTGGAGGCTGCTTCTCATCCATACCATTGGCAGCAACATAGGTATACATACAGACACAGTCTTAACAAGTACTCTGTTGTGATTATATATGACTTTTATATTTTAGTTAAGTGGATGTACTGATCCAAGTATCAACCAAAATTACTTCACAAAAACAGTAAGTGTATTTACAGAGCGAATAAGTTACATAGTTGTCAGAACAAAAGTGTCTCAGATGTGCATCAGATTTACATGCATACATTTAACACTGGACAGCAGTTAAATGTAAGAAAAAAACATACAGGTATGACTTTTATATATATACATTACAAATAAAATAGGACATCTCTTTAAAGAAACTTAACAGGAGACCTTGCATTTCACGTTAATGTTTTTTTACTTTTTATACTCCAAATTTATATTAAATAAAAATAAGCATGCAATACAGTTCAAAAGATTTGACTGCGATGGGACTTTCTCCTACAAAATGGCAAGTTAAATTAGATCAACCATCCTTTAATAGTATAAATATATTCATAAAAGCAACCCTCTAGTAAAAAGCCGCCAAGGTTCTTAAAAAAAAAAAAGAAAAACAAACAAAAAATCTACCAAGACACTCGGGGGCCTAAGAACAGACCTCTGCAATATGATCCAGTACCTTCAGAGACAGTAGCCTAGTAACATTAGGAAATGTACTTCATAGCAGCTCGTTGTTTTAAGATACGGTAGTCATATTCAAATTACAGTGTACATTAAACTGTAGTCCATTTACTATTTGTTTCATACACACAGGCTCTCAGCTTTTGACCAACAAGTTTGCAAGATTCCGTGGCCAGCTTCATTCTGCCCATCTTTCACTCAACCAAATAAGAGAAAAAAGGAAAAAAATGTACAAGTTTTTTTCTTTTTTTTTTATAACAAAAAATATTATTTTGTGAAGGAAACATTGCACTTCTGCCAACCTAAGGTTAATTTGCTATAAAGGAAGTATTGTTCAGTGTAGTAGGCTTTGGTAATGCAACGGAAGTCACTTCTTCAGTAGTGAGTTGCAGTTGCTCAGTGAAATGCTAACTGGTTTTTGTGCAACAGAGAACAAAGGATGTTGTCCTGGATGCTCTATGCTACCTTCGTCCTTACAGTATTGCTACACATTTGAAGTTCAGCCCGTAACTTTTTAGAAGAAATCCTAAATGTAACAAGAGTGAGTACAGTTTGACCAAACCTTTGTAAGGCTGAGAAGACATTGAGCCACCTCACTCCAACAGGGCAGCACTCCCAGCTTGACAGAGGGGCCCAGAGTCCTGTCAGAGACTTGTGCCGGAAACGCTGGAGTCTGGAAGAAAAGTATTGATGACCCGGTAACTCTGAGCTCTGCGAATCATGTCGCGGATCTCTATGTTCAGTTCCATTAGTTTGGTACAGATTTCCGTCAGGCTCTGGTTAGAGCCCACCAGTGCATAGGTGCCCGTCTGACCCAAGGTTTGGTGCCGGAAGTAAATGTTCAGCAGTGTCTGGACTTCATCATCAGAGCTACTTCCAAAGATGTCGTTGGGCCACAAAATCCTGCAACCCAACAGGAAAAGAATGTGCGGATCATTATGGGTTATCAGCACAGACCGAACCTAAGTGACCGAGGTCTCAACAAAGAGAGCAGACTTGGTCACATCACAAGCCAAAGGAACTCTCTTGTTTATGCCACTCAGTAATTACTGATAGCAGACACCGACATCACACAAACGCATGATTCCTATTTTCTAAAAATAAAAGGCTAAGAAATCTCATTCAAATAATGAAGTGAAACTGGGTTGAACATCAGCTGATGGCAGTGACATACATATAGAAAGATTCTTAGGAGCTTCACAGCAGTACTTTGTATCTATGCAATGCTGTTAAACGTCTTCATGGTGGTAAACATCTGTGTTTGTACTGCTGATTTGATATCATTACTTATGGCACATCCCACAAAAGCTACTAACATCAGTGCCCCACGTATCTGTTGAAACGTAATATTAATTATGGTGACTCAGCACATTACATTTAGTATGAAGTTAGGAGAGTAATGAATGCACGCTCTTCTAATAACATGAAAGTCTACCATGAACTGCATAGTACAACTTGCCTGCATTCCCTTATTTGCCGTACAGCCTTAACCAGCTCGTTGTTTTTCAGACACTCCAGCATGGACTGAATGGCTGCTTCTGTAGAATTGAACGTGGGCTCAGATTCCATGCTCAGAGGCTCAGCTGCAATTGCAGCAGTAGCATCCTTAAGATTTTTCTTCAACTCACTCAGTTCTCTTGACATATTTAGCAGCTGTTCCGAGGAGAAAGATATGAGATGTATGTTTTCATTCTCCATAGGTACCAAAGAATGGTTATTTCAAGTCTGTTCTATTAGCAGTAAAAATTATGGAAAATACCCACTTCAACAAGGATGTTCCTTGAAACTTTGTGCTCTGTACTGTAAACAGAAAACACGAACTACAGATTTTTAAGCTTTGAGTTTGAGATTAACTATGTGGGAATTTTGTCCTCCTTTTGCAAGAGCACATCTGAACAATCTTCTATCTGTCATTCCCATTTCATATCTGTTTTCATATAATTATGCATAAGTTCATGAAAACAACTTTTACTTCTCTTATCAGTGATGTTATTTATTTACAATACACATGCAGGAGCTGGTAGGCCCTTTTCTCAAACGCTGAAACGTTAAAGATCTACCTGTAGATGCTCATGTATATTAAAAATAACCACTGTCACATGAACCAGAAATGGAACTTCTTTTACATAGTTGCTCATGGCTCCAGCAAAATGTGCTCATTTTATGGTGAAACAATTGTCCCTCATTCCCCTATGGCCATAAGATGTGTTATTTATAGCAATCTAACAAAACAATCTATTAAACAGTTATAGTAATCAATCCTCTAATAAAGAACAGAAGATATTTCTCAAATCTCAGCCACACTAACTAGATTCCCAGTACCTGTTTGTCTCTTAGAAGGAAGTAGCCCATGTGCTTACAAGACTGCCTGGAGAACAGTTTCTTAAGACACAACAAGTATTGAAAGTATTTCTACTGTTATGGTACATCTCACATCTAACAAACCAACCATCTCTGTTTACTGGAGAATCTGCAATATACTAGAATGTGACAGAAGATTCACTTTGTCGCTTAAATGTTTGTAATGCAGTAAGCAAAGTACATACAGTAACTTCCTCTCCTCAGCAGTTTAAAATATATGGACTTCATCAGGAAAAAAATATACAAGGAATGGCAAGTTATTGTTACTGTCTCTCTTGAAATTATCATCATTCAACTTAAAGTGATAACCTTGAAGATAACTTCAAAAGTAGCATCTATTTTATGCAACTGCTGACAATAAACTCCTCAGAGCACAAAGATGTTTGGGTTGAAAAAGATGTGTTGTTATGCCATAAATACTTATCTTCATAATGCTGACAATAAAAAGGACTCAATTATGGGATTTTGTTAACTACAGTACTAAAATACGTTTAACACTCTTGGGAAGCATTTAACTGATTTCACTTTGATTACCCACAGAACAGGATCAGGAAGACTCGGTAATGTTGGCTACGTACCTCTGGCATGGAACTGACTTCGTGCACTTGTCCAATAAGTTTACAGTAGGACTGAAAAAGCAACAGCAGCTGGAAGTGGAGTTTATATAATCTCTGACACAGTTCCAATTGCTAGGGAGAGAGTTACAGAAGAACTAATCAATAAGGATCCATAAGTCAGGATAGTTTTTATTAACCAATAAAACCAATCTGAAATAGTTTAGTTCTTCAAAAAACGTTAT